ATACCCGCCAATGATGTGTTCCTTTGTTAAGTAATACGTAGGAAAATCAGTACACTTACTTTTAGGACATCGTAGTATGCTATAAGACAGCTTGAGTTAACCGGAAGGAAGATGTTTTCGTTGGATATCCTATCGCTCTTCACCAAAGTTCTGTTAGAAGGGACTATCGCTCGAGCACATCAGTTAGATGTCGGCCTTTCAAACAACCGATTGAAACAGCTACTCATTATATGCACTAGCAATATACAATATCAGTTCGGCGGGGCGAAATACAGACAATAGAATGGAGTAGCAATGGGCTCACCGCTTGGACCGTTGCTAGCATATTTGTTCATGAGCAAATTAGAGAAAAATTACCTCAGCGGTCTACCCTACTATGGGCGATACGTGGATGATATGTTCTGTGTAACAGACAGTCACTGTTGCACAGAACAAATTTCGTCCCATTTTAATTCGGCGCACCATAATAATTATTTCATCTTTGAACATAACTGCAATGGTACAATGTCCTTCCTATGGTCCAGATTAGCAGATGGCTGCGTGCGTCGATCCAACAGAGGGTGCACAAAAATGTAACTCGGTACAGACCATATATACACTTTGCCAGCTTTGTTTAACTTACCCAGAAACGGAACCTGATTAGATATTTAGCCGAAAAGGCCAGGAGGGTTTTTAGTGAGGGCACGCTTTCTGACCAGCTAACTTACTTGATTGGTCTTTTCGAGAGAAATGGCTATCCGGAATAGTTTGTTCGAAGAAATAAGGAGTGCCGAGAAGCGAGAGCTAAAACACTTCGATCGGAAAGTAATTGATTTATGTATCGTTACCGTTCAAAGGGGATGGAATAGCGCAGACAACTTCTTGAACGCTATCGGATGCTATTGACCATACCTGCTGCGCAGCAAGCTTACGGCAAAGCTTTACTTTAACACCAATCGTGTGGCATCAACTCAAGGACAGACTTCTTGTGCACGCGGGTAGAGCACTAAGTTTCCAGATGCACAAACCTTTTTATTTTTACAATAACATAAGCATTACATTTTCTTGAAGTAATCTCCACCAACGTTCATGCACAGTTCCATGCGCTCACACCATTTGGAGAAGTAACTAGACTATGCCGAAGCGGGTAACCTACTCAAGCCACTCAAGTAAGACAACTACTGCAGCTTCTGGAACCTCGTAGCAAATTCCACACATCATGCGCTTGACATTTAGGAACACAAAATGTCACACGGAGCCAAATCTGGACTGTAGGGTGAGTGACCAACCTCCTGCGTGCGTTCTCTAGCCAGGAAATCTACGACGAAATGGGACCTGCATGTAGATGCGTTATCATGGTGCAGCAAGGTCCCTCGTGCTCGAGTCCTTGGGTGACGCTTGTCTGCAGGTTCCAGCACTTGTGGCAGACAGTCGGTGGCATGCCAGTCTCCGGTGACTGTGCATTGCCCTACGAACGGTACAGCAGCCACATGGCCAGTCTTAGCCACGGACACAGCCACCATCTGCTTGGCCACACTGCGCTCACGCAAAAATTTCTGAGGCGGCGCTCGACGAACGGCCGTCCACTGAACCGATTGTTGCTTGGTCTCTGGGTCAAAGCTGTGCGCCCAGGCCTCATCACCACTGAGGATCTCCCAAACAGCATTGAGGCGTCCACCATCAAATCTGGCAAGCATTGTGCAGCACCAAGTCACTCGAGCTACTTCCTGGTCTTCACTGAGCTGATTGGGTAGCCAGCGTGCACAAACCTTTCTGAGGCCGAGGTTCTCATGTTGGATGGCGCTGATTTATCCCGATGGCTTTCCCCAGCTGTCCCTCGCGTCCTCTTCCAGCATCGCTTGCTCAGCGGCGAGGTTGACCACGATGGTGGCCTTCACAGGTCGATCACACCGTACCTCTTCATTTAGGAACCGCTTACCACGTTTGAATCCCGCAAACCATTCAAACACAGTAGCGCTGGAATGCACATCATCACCAAACGCAGCACTCAATCGCTCAACACTCTGGGGTCGCTTTAAACCACACTTGTAGCCATAGGAAATCATCGCCCGCCAGTGACATCGGCCGAGTTTCATACTCACAGTCAGAGGATAGTGAACCTTATTACTTGTGAGCGGTGCTGGGCTGCTAATATAGGGTTATGTGAGTTGCAACCACTAACCAATGTCTGAGTGGATTACATTTCACATTTTCTTGCCAGGTCCTCTGCACCTTATCTGTGTACTTCGTATCCGGAAACTTATTGCTCCGCCCTCTTATGCTCCTACTCTTGTTCATGTTGAGCAAGATGTGTCGGAAGAACCACCAAGAGACTGTTTGAGAGGATCCGTGAGCATTACTCGACTTAGCTGTGTAGTGGTGGGACTAAAGCAGTGACGTGCGCTGTGTTTGCACATTCGGCTGAATCTAACCGCCAAATCGATGCCTGCCAGTATTTTTAACCCATTTACCGTGTAACTGGATGCCACGCACAAGCTATAACATCTTGCTTAGTAACAACAGCCGAAGCGATTGCTATCCGCCTCCAGAACCCAGTCTTGCGTACGCGAAACGGTTCGTCTAAATTCTCTGCGTACCTTAGCCCCCCACCACAATGACCCATGTTGGGTAACACGCTACTAGCATGTCCTTCATCGCTTCTGAGCCAACCACCTACCTATTATTTAGACAAGTTAGACATTTGGGCACCTATACTTTATGAACCTGGGAGTTTACCTTACATGCTTCTATCTAAAAGCATGACCGCAATGTGCTCAAAACGGAAACTTCGACCTTTCACCACGGTTTGAATCGAGTTAAAGAACGATTAACCGACACATCGATTCCTTACGGAAGGCATTTGGAAATTTTGAATCGTCTATAATCAAAGCCGCGTTACTAAAAGCCGGCAATGTTTAGGAAAGCGCGATCTAGCCGCACTAGAACTCCCACCTTGTAGATAATAAGGAGTGTTGCGAATCTGCGCTACCTTCCGAAGGTATTCTGATGTGGTGAAAGCTACCATCTTCATTGTGGTAATCTCATAATAGGGTGCCAGGGGTTGAGTGTTGTCAGTCGTATGTGACATTACCTATTGAAGCTCAGTCGAAACACGCACCTACGTGGTGATCACGGGTACATTACAGCTGTCTAGGATGCCTAGGGGCCTGCAATCCCTGGAAACTTCCCGAGACCAGTCGCACCGGTTCCGACATTGTTTATTTTCTAAAAGTTCTTGAACGTTGTGCTTACTACCCTTTGCCGTATTTCATCTATTGATACTGGAATCTCCGTATTTTCCACCTCCCTAATCAGTTATTGTAAAGCTTACAGATACACGGAAAGTAATGCGTACTGAAAGAGTTTGTTTCACCCCATAATAGATGTTAGATACAACGATACGTTTCGATACCTTTTGGAGTCACATCATTCATCTGGGCATGTAAGGCATTCGTTCCCACATCAGTAGTATATCGGTTTTATTGTGTTGTCTTTCTTACTGCGTAGCCTCTGGGTTTGTTTCGTCTTTCAGAATTGATCTGCGTCATCCATAAGATTTGTTTGGAAACTTACATCTGCTTCGTAGATAACCATTTCCTCTCCATCCCAAATTCTAAGTGCTTTTCTTTGTTCTCAGGAGCAAAAGATCCTGACCCTGGTGCCTGAGTTGGTGGTCTTGCAAACCGAGCCACACTCAATTTAGAATAGCGGTGTCCGGTGAAATACCTAGAGGCATCGGCGAAGACAGCGAATCACATGTAGCTGTTTGCTTTGATGACGGAAATGAAAAGACGTGATAAACTGCGGCTACAGAACCAAATGAGCCCGGAAGCCCACGTAACAAGCTAAACATGAAGGTAGGAGGCACTAGGTAGTAGTAAACAAGGCGCCGCATCCAGTTATTTTGGTAAGACCGTCGGTTTCGATCCGGACGATCAGGAGTTATCATCGATGAGGGAGGGTGAATGCAAGCCATGCCAATGCCCGGTGAATGCGTTACCACAATGCGAGGCGCAGCTTCATCTAATCCTCTGCTGCGAGGCATATGGAGCCTACAGACTTTCACATCCGTCGATTGCGTGGAACTTCCCGCAAAGAAATAGCCACTCCACACGATTCCAGTTTGTGTATCTCGCTCCTGATGCGACACTCAACAGAGTAAGGGAAGGAGTGTCAAACTAAGCACCTCGCAGCTGTTCTCATCATGACAAGACTCAACTGTTGTTGTTTTGCGGGATCTGCTTACAGACCATCCGACCTGGTACGCGGCCGCAACTACGCGGTACTCCGCATTTACCACTGGACGTGGAGTTCTATTCCAACTTTTGTGATGTAGTAGAGGCGTTTCCCAACGTTACACCCGGTGGCTTATTTCGTCTTTCCTTGGCCTGCTCAGTTGGCGACAGTTGGAATCGAGAGTGGCGCCTGATGCATACTGATTGATGGCTGCCACCTTGACTGCTAGGCTATCGAGCTCCTCGAGCAGCGCCTGGTACAGTAGCCAATAACTCATTACTGGGTTTTTAGAACGCCCGCCGGACTGCAACGCGTAGTCCCAGTGTGAACCACGACATAATTTGTTGTAAACTTAGGTCGTTCGGATCATCGGAACTGCATCCGAGCAATGTCGAAATCGATGGTGGGGTGGAGTGTTAACAACGAGTAGCATAACGAATGTCCATACCTCGGATGCGATGTCACTGGTCAGAATGACCGGAGTCTACTTCAAAGTGACTTTTGGTTCGACTTGAGGTTCCTGGTCAACAGTACTCTCAAAACCCAAACACTGAATTATTACGTCGAACACTTTTCTTAAGTCGATTCTTCCCCTTATCTTGAATATCGCAACGTGGTCTTTTATCCTGTTTTTCGTGGTATAACATTCTAGGACATAGGTGGCCAGTAAGTATATGTTACCATCGTCGATTACTGTAGCCATGTTAACAGTGAGTCATACTGGTACTCTCGTTATACTTCAGCAACTCATAACTTCTGATGTCTGTCGTTCCCTCTAGATTACCTTCCCCATGGATTGGCAAATCATCCGCACTCAAATTCACGACAGGCTGTGTGGCCCTGATCCATACCCGACTATCCTGTGCGATCTGGAGAAGGTGTTAAATCAAGTTGTTCGCCAGGATAAATCAGACCGTGATGTAGCCACAACGGAAGACTTCCGTAGACATTTTTCGAAGCTTATTGCCTTTTCCGAATTGGATTCTTCCCTGCGACAGTTGCTCATTGAAGTAAGTTGACTCCTCATACTCATTTCTTAGCTCATCTGCATTCTTGACGTTGGCACAGTTTCCAAGTGTCTTACTGACCTGTTTCTCAGACCTACAAGCGAAATCTTCGGTACTGTTCACTGGGACAACATTTTGGCACTTATCAGCACTTTGACTGTTGCTATCAAAGGTGGTGTTTCCGCAATCAGAGGTACGTTTCCGCATCGGTGTTGATTTCGTTAAATAGCAGGACGTAGTTTTGCAATGCATATATTTTGTCGTAACTGCGTCGGTTTCATGACCTTTCAATTTGTCTTGAGCACGCGTATTAGCCTTTGTCATACATCAAGAAGTCGGGTCAGACCGATGTCTGATAAGTAGCTCCTCTTGTGAATAAGCTATCAAGATGGGTTATTTGTCCTATCTCCACTGTTATGGTCCTAAGGGGTGGACCAAGTAAGATAGGTTCCCACATACACTTTACTGGTGCGCGATCGTATGGCAAAACACGCGATACTAGTCAAGTAGTGTGTATTGGCGAAATAAACACAAAACTGGACAGTGCCCGGGCAACTATAGGTAACTGCCAATAGCACAAACTACTATATCTAATAGTTGAAACATGTGTGATTCTATAAGAGGCAAGCTTTTCACAATTAGTGGATGTTTGTGAGAATTGTAAAGTTCGTAGAAAGTGGAAGTCACGATTAAAATTCACGCGGACCGGTAATTCGTGGACCGGGGTTCGACTCCCCGTCGAGGCACATTATTGTGCGTGAATTTTAATCGCGACTTCTACCTTCTACGAACTTTTCACAATTGTTGCATATTTTTAAGCCAGGTGACATGAGCAATGTTCTGCTGCACAATATAAGCACAAGCCTCACAAGTATTGGTAAAAACATGCGTGGCCCGTTGCACACTCGACTCGGAACATGGTGTTGGTTCGTTTTTTGAGGCACCATGACAAGTTCAAACACAGTTCCATGACGCCATCTGACTTCGGTTCTTCAAGCCTTGGATTTTACTCGTGTTAGTTTGCCTCTACTCTTAACAGCCACCAACTGCTTGCACCCCACGAACGCATTAAGGACACGAAGACGAACCGGGATAGATTTGGGTACATGAGAATACTGCGTCTCTTATCTACGGTATAGCAGCGCTAGGAGCAAAGTTGCTAAGACACATCTGTGACATCCTCAAAGCCAGTGTACTGAACCCTTCTTATTCGTTATCTGCATCTGCTGGCGTGTCAGTAAAACGCTCACCCACTCATCGATGGCCCTATTTTAGAATACTCAATGGATGCATTGTACTACATGCTGATTAGCATACAATCCTGCTTTCCGTTTACCTGACGTGTTTTATTTCGGCTACGAGTCAGCCACTGTGCATTAATTTCGCAATTGCTAAACTGACATTTGGCGACGAACGTTAAAATCGGAATTAGTAACCCGCCTGATCCCTTTTAAAAGGACACGTTGTCCAAAGCATCCTTAGCAGTTTGGAACTGTTGGAAACGAACCTACTGTAACTACTTACAGGTTTTCACAATTACACACCCCTGCATCAAACTAGGTGGAACCCCATCTATCAAGCTACTGAGACAACACCTCGGTGCAGAAGGTCAACGACATTTTAATGTGATGCGTTTGTACGAAGCACATCGCTGGCGGACTACTTTAACGCCCTGGATGGCTTTTAGAGACCGCGGCAACCTGTTTTTACGGCGCGCCTAAGTCTTGCGGAACTCACTCCTTCATGGACAAGCGTTTCTTCGGCAAAGACAACTCGGCGAAAATTACAACACGTTTGGCCAGCCAAACTCTGCGCTGTCAGTTACGCGTTCACGTCCATAACTAACGACTCTTGGGGCAATGTGGTACTTCCTTTGACTCAGTTAAGCAAGCGATGATTAACTCACATGAATGTCGACCGATCCATATCCAACAGTCAACTCAGTTACAGCCGCCTACCTTTGGCTGTCTGACTCACTCGGTTGGCCCATCCTTTCACTCTGGTATGCCACTCCCATCACACTAGGTTTTTTCTCAATTAGGACATGGAGAATAGGTGAGTGTTAATGAATTCATCAGTCGTATACAAAGGTCCCTTCCTGAATGCCGTTACAATGTAATTCTCGCAACCAACTTCGAAGAGACGATGGCGGTGCAATGCCTTTTGGTTAGTATTCGAGACTATAAAGCTAGAGAATGTCTGCTGTCAGAAGACGAGAATAAACGTATTGGGGAAACATCCTGCACATTGGTCAGACAAAGGGAAAGCGTTGTGCAACATTTAGTTCATTATCTAAGCGATTCTCCTTCAGCCGCCGTCCACGCGGTTAAACCTCGACTATCACCCACCAACAAATGTTTCTTTACGTGCTACCGATACGGCGAGAAGCATGAAGATCTTACTGATTGTAGACACAAACAATTTACTTGTCACAAGTGCGAAAAGGTCGAACACGTATGTCGTTCGACTGTGCTTCAACGACCGATACCCCGCCTTGCCTCGGGTACTGTTCGAACTGTGGAAAACACTGACGACCTCATATTCTATATAATTTCGCACATAACCATGTCGCACGCAAAGGGATTGTCCCATACACTGTTGCTTTAGAAATCGAAGCCCAGCCAGTACGTCTGGAGATCGGTACCGAGGCTTCGGTTGCATTGATCAACAACCAGACTTTACGCGACCTGGTTCTGTTTGCGACTCAACCTAAAGTACTAAGCTACACTGGGGAACTATTCTATGTTTTGGCCGTGTGTGACGTGTAACTAATTCATGGGGCCACTACGTTGCCTCTTCCTCTAATCGTTGTTAATACAGACGGACCGAATCTACTTGGTAGGAACAGCTTAAAGTACATGCCGGAAATATTACAGTCTGTCAAAAAGGTGGACAGTATTTCTGACTTACCTAATCTCTTGGAAGTTTCTGCCAATGTTTTCAAGGCAAACCTATCTGGACAACTACGTGATTTCAATGCTTACTTGGATATCAATCCACAGACTCAGTCGAAATTTTACATGGCATGGAGTCTACCTCTCGTAATCCTTCCGAAAGTAGACTTAGAGCGCTTACAAGGGGACGGAATAATTCCACTGTGCGCCATTCTTCCTGGGCTGCACACATCGTTCCTGTACAGAAGGCTGTTGGCTCTGTTCGCATTTGCGGCGACTATAAACTGACGGTTACTCTAGTGACGACTACGGAGTATTATCCAATTCTGCGGATAGATGACGTTTGCGCAACTTCGTCGGGTGGACAAAAGTTTTCTCAACTTGATCTAAGCCATGCTTATTCTCAAGTGGAGCTACAGGAATCCTCAAAGGAATTTGGTTGGGGTCTTCTGGTTCCGGATTTGCCTGTCACTGTGGCCTCCATAGTACAGCCACAAGACGCCTACGCCTACAGTGGAATCAGGGGTGGCTTGCGCAGCACTACCCATAGTTCCATCCACACACCGCATGAGAGCCACGTTTCATCAACGGAGCCGGCCTACACTCCTTCACAGACAAACACAAGCATGCTGTACTTGGGGACTCAAGCATACACAAGGCGATGGCTAGATCCTAGTCCGCTCCACACTGGTTGGAACCACTCTTGAGCCTAGCAACGGCACGAGGACCTTGCACCCCGTCCCCTCCAGCAACGACCGACTGTCTCCTGGAGCCAGTATGGACGAGGTAGTGGGTAATAGACAGGTAGGCATCTTGTCAACATGCACCTTAAGCGCAGCCACACCGGAGATGTCAAACAACAGCCAACCACTTGAGACGACAATATCAAATAATTGTTATCGAATAACGTATGCGGATACACAGACTTAATTCTGCTAAGTGAGCATATGAAATAAATTTGTTATCAACGAATCGTCGATAAGTTCACGATGTCAGCAAATGGTATCTTTAAAAATGCTTCAAACGCGAAAAGTTAATGAATTACAAAACAATCTGCTTAACAAACGTGTGCAAGTGAAAAGTGGCTTATTTAGACAGCCATTTAAATTATTAAAAAAAGAAGGCATTAACAAAATATAACAAAGCAATCACCTGAAATAAAGAAACTCAGCACGCAATGACACCGTTAGTAAATCAAATGAAGCGTACCTTCCAACGCTTCGACGCCTCTGCCTACGTTCTGTGCAGGACGCGTCGTCGCTTCGGTGTTGGCCTCGAGTGGCCACGCTCATTGCTCACTAGGCCTTCCTGACAGGCGCTCACGACCGCATTTGCTGCAGCGCCATCCGCTCGACGTCGATGGAGTACAATCCATCGGCGCCTGTCGCTTCCGCACCTGCCGTATCTTTGCATGCACGAGGATTTTCTCTTGCACCTCGGCAACTGCCTTCGTGATTAGTTCGCGCCATACACGCCGATCAACCGCTTTCGATTCCCATGACCTGAAATCCAAATTAGAAAGTGATAGGCTCATCTTGATCACGTGCTGGTAACTATGTTTCGGTTTCCATGCCTGCCGGTTCCTCACACTCATCTGACCACAGTGCAAAGTGATGCATCTGCGTCACCAGCTGGTGAGCGCCTACAAGATTGGAGACCACACCTTGGCGAAGGTTTCTCATGAGCGGGACCTGGGTGTATTGGTACAGGAAGATCTCGGGTGTTCCAAACAAGCAGAGAAGGCGACGAGAACCGGAAATCAACACTTCGGCCTTCTTCGCAGAGCCTTCGGTCGGTTTGAACCATCAATATTTCCCCAAATGCTTAACGCCTACGTGCGCCCGCATGTGGAATATGCTATTCAGGCGTGGCAGCCGTGGCAGAAACAGGATCTCATTGCTCTCGAGACTCCTCAACGACGGGCAACCAAGAACGTCAGGGGCCTCTTTCATCTGCCCTATCAGCTTAGACTGAAATCTCTAAGAATGTACAGCAGTCGATATCGGCTTTTGCGGGGGGATCTCATAATGGTTTACCAGATTCTGAAGAACCCAAACCACATTTGCCGTCCGCTGCTGGAATTGAACCCCAACATTAAACTATATCAGCTGCTGCAATATCCGCGTCGAATCCAAATACCACACATGATCGAGCCATCTCAGGTGTGTCAACAAAATTATGCAGTCCACTGCATACATCTCACTTCGGCGCACCCCTTCCGTGTCCGCAACTCAGTCGCACCAACCGATGCGCAGCATCCGTCGCAGACACTGTTGATGAAACCGCTCAAGATATCGCG